CACGGGCGGCGCGCTCCTCGGGCGCCACCTGCTGAGCAGGGTCCGCGTCGCCAGCAGCGCCCCGCCCGCCGGCCTGGTGCGCTTCCTCAACGCCAGCGCGCTGTCCCTGGCCAAGCCCAGCGCCGCGACGCTGCTGCCCCTGCTGCTGGAGCGGACCGGAGGACTCCGGGGAGAGGTCCAGGTGGGGCTGTCCTTCGTGTGGCTTTCGGAGCAGATTCGGGCGGGCTGTGGCGCGGTGTTGGACCTGCTGATTTCCCGCGTGCGCTTAGTTATCTAGTCAGCATCAGTAAATAAGGCTTGTTCAGTACCGTGTAAATGCGGAGTAGCGTACGTGCCTGGCGAAGTACATCGGAGTGCACACAGCTGATCTCAGGGAATGCTTGAGAGCAAGTGAAAATTAAGCAAATGATTTTTGTAATCAGTCCAGCATGGATTCATTGAGTGAATTCTCTGTGACTGGCTTTGCGCTGGGTACTGAGCATGTACCATGAGCTATATGTCATCTCTGTTCTCAGACTGCCTTTTTTTTTTTAAGACAAGGCCTCACTATGCAGTTCAGGGTGGCCTTGAACTCACTGTGTAGCCCAGGCTGTCCTCGAACTCACAGCGATCCTCCTGCCTCAGCCTCCTGAGTGCTGGAATTATAGGACTGGTCATTGTAATAAGCAGAGTCAAACAGTAAACTAATGTGGAAACTGTCTGACAGTAATAAAGGTCTGTTCATAAAACTGGGAGCTGTGGAGTCTCCTGCTGGCCACCTTTTTATTTTTCGATGGTTCTGGGCTGGAAGCCGGGCCTGGAGTGCTGGGGCCGAACCCTGCCTTTAGCTACACCCTCACACCCTCCTGTCAGCTGTGCCCAGGTGTCCAGGGACAGACTCCAGCTGAGAGCTGGGCAGGGCAGGCCCCTGGGTGGAGCAGGGGCTTCGAGTGGGAGAAGTCCGCGGGGCAGGCTCGCAGGTCAGGGACAGCAGCAGGACCGACCCATCTAATCCGATCTGAGGGCCAGAGAGTTGTTCTAAATGCAGACGGGATGCGGATACCTAAGGAGGGTTTGCTGCGCTCTGGGGGCAAATGCACTGGGCGGAGTGGCAGCTGAGCAGAGTCAGGAGGTTTCCAGGCAGCAGCTGGACGCTGAGCAGCGCTGTGTCCTGAGACTTGAAAGCCCTGCTGCACTAATCCGACCTGCTGCGTGCATTGCTCCAGGGCCAGCGGGCCAGGGACCTGCAGGGGGTCTCCAAAAGCAAACCTCTCCGTTGTAAACCTGAAAACTTGTTCCTCAGAACCATGTGTGAAGATTTTTCTTTATTTTCAGTAACAATTTCAGTGTATTTAGGAAAGGATATGCACTCAGCTGAATGTTCGCATAGCTCGTCTTATTCCAGTACATTTTCATTGGCGGAATCTGTACGCAGGGCAGGACAGTGCTGTACTCATAAATTTTAAAAATATTTCTCTTCGTATATGTTTTTCTAATATATTTTGAGAAATTATTTTTTACTAACATGTAGTGATTAACAGTGACCGAATATCAGTATTTTTAATTCAGTGTTAGACAGTTTTACCCGTGAAAACTGATACTCTATAGGTACAGAGTTTATATTTGCAAATACATAACAAAAATAAGTTAATGTTACAAGAATTTGCTGCACATTCCCTAGAATAGTTTCTTATGTATGTTCCTTTTTTCTAATACATGTCTATTGCAATAATCCATTGCTTACTACTGATCATCTGTATTGAAAGACAAAACCCCAAACACCCTGCAGGTAGACTGGAGCGTCTCGGGCCCCAACTCCGAGGAAGCCCTGTCACAGCACGATGGGGACATCGCCCAGCCCATGAACGGCTCCCTCTATTTTGCGGAAGGAGAGGGAGGCGTGAGGACCATCCTCCTGACCATCCACCCCCATAATGGAACAGAAGTGGAAGAGACTTTCACAGTTAAACTGAAACTTGTGAAAGGAGAAGCTAAATTAGACTCCAGAGCCAACGCTGTTACATTCACGGTAAGTTTGACTTGATTTTTCCTACATCTTGAGCTAAGTGCATTTATCAGAAAATACTTTATTCCATTATTTGAAACTGTACATGCTTACACTGAGTTAAAAATTATAAAATCACATAAAATTGTAAGCATTCCCATGGGGTCATACCTTCTGATTTTTGTGTTAGTTCATTACATTGCCTCATTATTGGTCATATTTTTTAAAAAGTTTTAATAGAGTAACAGATACTTGTTGTATAGTCTTTGAGAAAATTTGGTGTTTGGGGACTATTTGACAATTTTAGGGATGAGGTATTTGTTACGTCATGTTAAATATTAGCTATGCTTGTCATCAAAGTATATGAAAATTATTGACTAGGTGTAACTCAGTCTGTTTGAATAAAAAATGGTACTTGTTTGTGTAGCTCAATGGCTTGGTGCTGCAGTTGAGCCTGAACTCTATGTATTTGATGTGAATCACCCAGTCCATTGGAGGGGGAAGGTGCTGGGATTCAAGGTTACTGAAAACAACATAAATACATTTTCACCAGTTTTTTTTTAAGTTAGAAAAATAGTCTTATTTGGGATCTATATCAGTCAGAGACTTTCAGAGAAAGAGAGCCAATAGGACACACACACACACACACACACACACACACACACACACACACGTATGCAGGTGTACATGCAAGGAGAGAGAAAGAAAGAGCTTTTAAGGAGATTGGGGGCTGTGAGGGTGGCTCATCTAAAATCTCAGGGACAGGCTGTCAGTGGGAAACTTGGGAAAGGGCTGCAGGCATGGCCCTGAGCCACACTTCGAACAGCTGATCATAAGTGTTTGTCTTACCTAAATTACTTCGCAGATGTGTCTGGACCAAACAAACGGGCATCATCTCCTCGCCTATATGATGCAAAAATGGAACCATCACAGGATCTTTTTGCCTCTGTCTACTTTGTTCCATAGCTATGTAGCTAAAAATTACTGCTTAAGTGTAGAGAATATAAGCAGATTAGAGCAAAATTCAAGCAGCAAAGTGCTGTCTGTTTTGGGTTCTACAAAGTGTAGTTTTCTGAATAATTATTCCCATTACCTTTGGATGATAAGATCTTACTTACATGAGAGAAGAGGGTAGTAAAAAGCTTTTAAAAATCAAGTAGCTAAGTAGATGATATTCAAGTGTCATTTCCGGTTTTCATTTCCTCAGGTTATCTGTACATTAACATGTGGACACTACGATTGTTCTGTGTACCATTACTCTGTTCTCTGTTCATTTCTTTAGATACGAAAGTTTGATGACCCAAATGGCATTGTGTCTTTTGTCTCTGAGTCCACATCTGGGAAGACCTATTCAGAGCCACTGGCCACGGAAGGGCCGCTGGTCATAACCTTCTTTGTCAAAAGAGTCAAGGGCACTTTTGGAGAAATTACGGTATTGTTTCTGTCTCATTTTTCTGAGTACTAATCTTTCTAACCAGTGTGGTTGGGAGACAGGAACCTCATGTTGCAAGTTTAATTACTCGTTTTCAGGGTATGTTGTTTTTTTTTTCTTTTCTTTTTGTTTTTATTGCAGGGATTTCAGCCTGGAAACAAATTTTATTTTAGAAAGTTTCTGCTGTTTGCAGGTGTTGGCTGAATGGCTTTGGGAGGCTGGTGACAGTGGTTGTCTGTAAAAGCCCTGTCCTTGGGGCAGTTCAGCAGATAGGACATTGGTTACCCTACCTGTCTTTCGGAATGGACTATCCCATCCCACCCCACCCCACCCCATGTTTTGACTGCCTGTTAGGATGGACCAACTGTGTTTTTTGAAGGAAGGTGATTCCTAAGGCAGCCTTCTAAGGCTTTTTGTATAGCTCAGTAGAGAATTTTGCAGTCTTCTTGAAAGGAGAATAATGAAATTCTGCATTATCTAGCTTGAAGCCAGGATGGAGCTACATGTGTTTCACCTTATAAAACTGGAGGCAAAAGATCTTATGTCACTTACATGCTTGCAGTTTTCTTTCCTTTTTTTTTTTTATTTTAAAAATAAAAGGA